GCAAACATTAATTAAATCAGCATACAGTTCTTATCTGGAAGAATGAAATATATATAATTTATTCATTTGGAAGGGGCTCCATAGAATACTGAGTTGTGGGGTTGGGGATTTAGCTCAGCGGCATAAGCACCTGCCTTGCAAGCAGGTAATCCTGAGTTCAATCCCCAGTACCGATGGAAAAAAAAAAGAATACTGAGTTGTAATAAGAATTAATATTGGCTATTCTGCCAAGGATTACTATCAAGAGGATGTAGGGGCTGGGCATTTAGCTCAGCGGCATAAGCGCCTGCCTTGCAAGCGGGGAGTGGTGAGTTCAATCCCCGGTACCGATAAAAAGGAAATAGACAAAAAAAAAAGAAGATGTAAAGAACTCAAAAATATCTGATACCCCCCCCTTCAAATTTCAAGACCCAATCCAAAACCGGGTATGTGAGATGAACACATATTTTTCAGATGAAGACATACAAATAGCAAATAAGTATATGAAAAAATGTTCAACATCATTGGTCATTTGAACAATGCAAATTAAAACACTGAGGGGTCGGGGCTTTAGCTCAGTGGCACATGTGCCTGCCTGGCAAGCATGAGGTCATGAGTTTGATTCCTGGTACCAAAAAAAATGAAAGAAAAAAAATACACTGTAAAACAACACTGAGATTCATGGGGCTGGGGATTTAGCTCAGCGGCATAAGCACCTGCCTTGCAAGCAGGCGGTCAAGAGTTCGATCCTGGGTACCAATAAAAATGAAAATGAAAAAGACAAAAAAAAAAAAAAAAAACACTGAGATTCATGATAGCCAGAAAGAATGGCTATCATGAAGAAGTCAACCAATAACAAATGCTGGTGGGGTAGTAGGGAATAAAGAACCTTTCTCCATTGTTGGTTGGGTGTAGACTGGTACAACCACTGTGAAAATCAGTGTAGATTCTTCAAAAAACTAAGACTAGGGGCCAAGGATATATCTCAGCAGCACAAGCACAAGTCTGGCAACCAACATGGTTGTGAGTTCAATCCCTGGTACCAAAATAAAAACAAACAAACTAGGACAAGAGGTCCCATTTGACTCAGCTATTCCCCTTCCTTGGTATCTTCCCAAAAGAATTAAAAGCACCATACCAAGGGACACATGGACACCCATGTTTATAGCAGTAGATAAAAAAGATGTGAATTTTTTTAATTCAGTGGAGTACCACTCTGCCATAAAGATATGCTCAAGACATTCCTAGGTAAATGAATGCACCTTAAGACCATATTTTTTTTCCTCTTGGACACCAGGTCTCCCTATGTAGTTCAGGATGGTCTCGAGCCCAGGCTGGTCTCGAACCTGCAAGAAATCTCCTGCCTCAGACTCTCAAGTGCTGGGATTATAGGTGGGCACCACCAAGCCTGGCTCACAAAAGCTTATTTTAAGGACTTGAATCCATTTAACTGATAAGCGAAGTCCTCTTCCTGTACCATCTTCCTGATCCTATGTAATAGGATTCAGAAATTCAATTCTAGTTCTCTGTAGTAGTAATACTATATACATACATATACTATATTAGCCTCATTAGAGGTAAAATGTACTTCCACACTCCTGGTCTTTGGCCTGGCAATATGCCTGGCTGGGCCAAATGGGATATGGAGGAGCACACTATGATAACAGGCCAGTAGGGGATATGGAGGAGCAGACTATGATAAGGGGCCCATTGCACTTCTGACACTTCCTCCATAAAAATTTCCCAGAGATAGATGTTACCCTTCTTCCTACCTGGGACCCAGAAGACAAAAATGAAGAATGAATGGTACTGTTGCACAACACTAAGATGTTCTGGTTACAAATTATTAAGTCACAAAAGGTGACAAAACCAGGTGTGGTGGCCCACTCCTGTAATCCCAGCCCCTGGGAGGTTGAGGCAGGAGCATTGCTGCAAATTCAAGATCAGTCTGGGCTACAAAGTGAGCCCAAGGCCAGTCTGCACTGCATAGTGAGACCCTGTCTCAAAAAGACAAAAAAGCCAGGTGTGGTGGCTCACACCTGTAACCTATAATCCCAGTACTCAGGAGGCTGAGGCGGGACGATGGTTGTGAGTTCAAGACCAGCCTGGGCTACAAAGTGAGCTCAAGGCCAGCCTGAACTGCATAGCAAGACCCTTTCTCAAAAAAGACAAAAAAAAAAAAAAAGGTAACCAAATCACAAATTTTTTTTTTTTTTTGGTCTTTTTTTGAGAAAGTCTTGCTATGCAGTTCAGGCTGGCCTTGAGCTCACTTTGTAGCCTAGGCTGGTCTCAAACTTGCAATGATCCTCCTGCCTCAGCCTCCCTGAGTGCTGTGATTACAGGCATGAGTCACCACACCAGGCTCCCAAATCACTGTATTTAAGAAACTTAACCTGGACTAATGATACAAGCACTGTTCCTCAAACTTTACAAAGATCCTTCAGGGTTTAAAACAATATTTTTTTTTCTTTTTTTTTTTCGTTTTTATCGGTCCCAGGGATCAAACTCACGACTGCCTGCTTGCAAGGCAGGCGCTTATGCCGCTGAGCTAAATTCCCAGCCCCAAAACAATATTAAAAAATAAAATAAAATAAAATACATGTTCTAGAGAATTCATTTAGCACCTCTACATGGTAGGAACCAAATGCAGTGATTCATGGTGCTCACACATTAGAAACACCGAGATGAAATTATTAAACCTCAAACATTACACTAAACAGATGAAATTCAGTATAGACTGTGCTCCTAAGGTACATAAATTTGAAATCTAGTCAACTGAGTTATTTCAAATGCCTGTAAGGAGCTAACTTTTAAGTAATACTTGTGGTGTATTTTTATTAATATTAACAATTATTTATAAACCAAGCAAGCACATCTTATTTTTTCAAGAATTCTAATTTTTACATACCAACTGTTCCTTGAAATGAATCCAAGAATTAGACACAGTAAGTGCGAAGAAGTGATGCAAAAGAAATGATTAATGTATGATCCCAAAGAAAGACATGCGATCAGTCTTGCAATTTTTTTCCCTGGTCAGCTGCACTATTTTCATCTGTGCATCTATAGCATTGCATCTATGCTCCCAAATCCACAGACCTTGCACTTAATGAAACTGCACTAATATCCCAATAGTAAGCAAAGTTCCACACATTCAGAATCACATTTGCACAACTATGCCTATACTGTATTGTCCCCACTTCTTTGTAGAAACTGGTCCATGAAGGCATTACTACATCTCATGTTCCCAACTAGATGGAGACACTGCTGCCTCTGCTGCTGCTGTTTACACTGACTTGGTAGCTAAGGGTGCAGGCTATAATCCTGGCTCCATAATTTATTGTGTGATGAGTTACTTAAATTCTCTGTACTTTTCTCTCCCTCTTTGTAAAAGGAAAATAATAACCTACAGTACAGGATTGTCATGAGGACCACACAAGAAAATATACATAAAGTTACCTGAATGTTTGCGGCACTCAGTAAATGCCAGTATTACAGTTGCAGCTCTAAAATTTAGCTCTGCAAATCCTGCCTTCTGCTGCTATGTAATACTAAAATGAAGACTAACATCCCCATTAAGCAGTGATTCCTTTAATCTATTCCTTTTAAGGGACACTATTTTAAGAATATTTTACTTACCAAATAGAAATTTTTTATTTTTAAATCAAATGACTTTTTCCTCATCAATACTGATCACAAAATGTCACTGTCTATAAATGAGACTCTAACATTCTAAAAAGGTCAAGAATAACTAAGAATAAAAATATTCTGAGATTTCTGCTCAAAAAATGATTGCTTTAACTGAAGGCCTTTTTTTACTCTTTGTATTTTACATGAATCAAATGGTTTATGGCCAGGGAACATGCAATAAATTCAGTGAAAATCACTCACTTTTCATCACAAAAGTATATGCAAATGTAAATGTCTCAAAATACATCCAATTTATAAGTTTAAATTATTTAAAAACTACTCTGTATAGATTTATCATAAAAATAAGTGACATTAATCAACAATAGGCATAAGAGCAAACTTCAAATTTTCTTTCAGCATTTTTCCAGGGTTGATTTTTATAACCTGCGTCTAACAAAGCACTTAGCAATGAATTGAATGTGAAAACTACATACATAAAAAGAAAAAAGTAACTGGAAAATCATCATTTTATCCTTCACATTTTTTTTTTTCTGTACTGGAAACTCAAGGCCTCCAGCATGCCAGGCAGGCTCTGCGCCTCTGTCCTTTACTCATTTTTAAATGCCACTCTACCCTAAGCTTAAGAATTGTATACACAATTCATTCCTAAAAATTTCTAGAAACAAATCAAAAACTCGAAAAGTAATTGCAATGTGCGCAAAGGTTTGTTCCTAAGCCATGTAAGAAATGAAACAGAAATATCCAAAAGAATGAATGACTACCTTTTCTTTTATGCTTCAGTAAAACGTCAAAGAACTTCCCAATCTCCTAAAAGTCTGACCTGAGGTCAAAACTGTCTCAATGACAAAAAAGCCAGAAGACTAATAGTAAAGTTATCAAAATACTTCTACGCCCAGCAGTAATTCCACAAGAACAAACAATACAAGTGTCCAGTTTTAAAGGATGGAAACATAACTGCTAGACTACCTGGGAACCAAATAATATTAACGTTAACAGTAATAAACAATATTACCCAAAGTCTCAACAGTCCCAGTCTGGTTTCCTCAACCTTCGGTAACATTTTTGAATAATGAACATAACACGAATCCCCAAAAGTGATCTAAAATTAAGCAGAATGGGTGCACAGCTGATGTTCTTTTCACTATAAGCCAAATCCAATTCTTTACATTAAAAAAAATCTGTATTTCCGTTTCCAAATAGACACGGTTCGCTCTCTGTTTTTATTATTTTTAAAATATTAAAGTATTATTTTTACTTCGAGAATTACCTCACAGCTAAAAATGTCACGCTACCACACCCAGCACGCCCTTCCCGCGGAGGGCTGGGAGGGGCCGCGCGAAGGGCGCCCACCCAACACCGCGTCCCGTACTCACCGGCCGCGGAGCTGGCCAGCAGCAGAGCGCAGAAGAGCCAGGGCCGCCGCCAAGGCCGCGGCGAGGAGGGCAACATGCCGGGGCCGGGAGCGCGGCCACAGGCGACAGGAGGGCGAGCGTTCTTGCCTGGCGTCGGCGCGGGCTGGGAGGCCGGGAGACAGCGCGGGAGCCGGGCCGGGCTGGGCTGAGCCGAGCGCGCCTGCCGCGCCCCGGCGCCCTCACTGCGCCCCCGCGCGCCCGGGGAGCCTCGCCCGCCTAGGGCCGGACGCCGCTGCGGTCCGAGCGGAAGGCATGTCGCGGGGAGGGGCGCGGGCCGCAGTCACTGCCCGCGGAGCGTCACCACAGCGGAGAGACGCCCGCGTCGGGCTAGGACATAGCCGGCCCAAGGCCGGGGTCAGCGCGCGCTCCGGGCCGCCAGGGAGCGCGAGGCCGGGCGGGCGGAGGCGGCAACGGCGCCCCACAGCCCGCGTCGCATCGCCCGCGGCCCGGGCAGGCAGGGCGCGCTCGGAGCTCGGCCTCGCGTCTCTCAGCGCGCCTCCCCGCACACGCCCGCTCGGCGCTCCGGGCCGGCCGCGCCGCGGGCCCCCATGGACGAGCCTGGCCTGCCCAGCGGGGTCGGGGGTCCGCGCGGCCGCGAAGCCGGGGCGATCGCCTCCTTGCGGGTCCCGGCTTCTCCCTCACTGGCTCGGCGAACGAATCCCGGCGGCCGCAGCAGCCGCGCCACCACCTCGCCGCCCGCAGCTCTGGGGCCCAGGCGTCGGGAGCGAAGGCAGGGACGGCGGGGGCGCGGGCGACGAGGTCGGGCAAGGATGGGCGGCGAGTCTGGAGACACCCGCGCCCTCTCGGAAAGCAGTTCCGGTGGCTCCGCGCAGACCAGACACAAAAGGGGGAGTCGCCGCAGCTGCCAGTCTGCGGCGCTCCCGGCCCAGAGTCGCCCCGCCTCCGCCTCAGTCTCAGTCTTGGCTGCTTTGGCCCCGTCTGGCTACGGCCTGTGGTGCAGCGTGGGCCGCGGCGACGCCACCGAGCCGCACTGCGCCTGCGTGCTTGCAACCCGCCCGCACAAGCCCAGCTGCGGCTGCGAAGCCTTGAGCAAGAAGGCGGGGCAGGGTGGTGCTGGGGGGCGGGGCCCCGTGTTCGTGGGTCGTGTAGGGCGGCTGTGGCCTTTGTGTGGCCCTGCCGCGCCCCTCAGAATCGCCCCGGCTTCCCAGGACTCGCCGGGTAGCGTCGTGCGCGGACGAAGCCCGCAGTCTCCCGCCCACGGAGCAAAGCCGGATCAGAAAGGCAGCGCTTGTGCGTCGCCGGCAGTGGGCCCTCGGCGGAGGCGCGAGACGGGGAAACCCTCGGCGCGGTCTGGAGCAGCGGGCCCCGGGGCGGTGAGGGTGCGGTACTGTGGAGGCGGTGCTCACGCTGGGAGAGTCCACGCTGCTGCGACTCAGGCTGCTCGGACCCGGGAGTGGGGCCCGGAACCCGCGTCGGGCGCTGTGCGCGCTCCCAAAGCCGGCTTCACCAAGCGCCTAGCCCACCTCGCCGGCGCCACTGTCCCAGGCTAGACGCTTCCGCTGAGTTCGGTCCTTGCTGTTTGTCCTCAGGCAAAGAAAAACTTTTCTAAATAGCAAAATCCTTTTTTTTTTTTGGTCTTTTTCCTTTTTATCGATACTGGGGATTGAACTCACGACTGCCTGCTTGCAAGGCAGGCGCTTATGCCGCTGAGCTAAATCCCCAACCCCCAGTAAAATCCTTTTTTATTATATTTTTAAAATCCTTTTTAAAAGCAGTTAGGAGTATATGGTATGATTCATTAGTGTTATTACTAGGCTTTTTTTTTTTTTTTTTTTTTTTTTTTTTTTGGTACAGGGGGATCGAACTTAGAACCTCGAGCTTGCTGGGCTGCATCTCCGGCCCTATTAACATTTGACTTAGTAATAAGTTCTAGCACTTGGAGAAAAAGTTTATTTAGTATGACATGTACAAGACAAGACATGTCTTGTACAAGACAAGTTTGCGAATTGGTAGTATACGGCTTTTCTTCATCATATCGAGATCAAGTACATGATCATTCAATTTTTAATTGCATAAAATTAAGAAACAGGAAGTGCCCTTACCCATGTTATGATGTACGATAAATTGTGTAGAAGAAACAGGAAAGTCACGTGAAATTGTACATATCACCGACATATTGGGATAATTAATAATCCACATAACCACAACACGTGCCACCTTTTTTCCTTTTGTTCTGCAGCCATAGCTCATTTGTGATGTGCTTGTTCAATCACAGAAAGACTCGCAAAGACAAATTAGAGCTTGGCAAGGACTCATCTACACAAAACAGGTCTGCTGTAACCAAACAATTGCTGGGCGTCGAGGTGAGGGTGGCATCTCTGTTAGGCAGGCTGGGCTGGTTATACCATCTTCCGATTTTTCCAGTTTAGTGCAACAAAGATTTTCCTCACACTTCCTTTCTTTACAGCAGGCCCCCAGTCATCAGGAGCCAATTGTAAGTGGGGTTCATCAGGAAACAGGTTCTGTGACTCAGATTTCAGCGCAGGAGGTTACTGGGTAGTGGTCTTTTTGTGTGCGTGTGAGACAGGGTCTCTCTGCAGTTCAGGCTGGCCTTGAGCTCAGTTTGTAGCTCAGGCTCATCTCCAGCTCGCAATGATCATCCTGCTTCAGCCTCCTGAGTGCTGGGATTACTGGCATGAGCCACCACACTCGGTGGTTTTAAGAACAACTGAGTTGGGGTCGGGGGTTTAGCTCAGCGGCATAAGCACCTGCCTTGCAAGCAGGCAGTCGGTCGTGAGTTCGATCCCTGGTACCGATAAAAATGAAATGAAAAAAGACCAAAAAAAAGAACAACTGAGTTGGGGGCTGGGGATTTAGCTCAGTGGCATAAGGCCTGCCTTGCAAGTGTGCAGTCGTGAGTTCAATCCCTGGTACCGATAAAAACAAACAAAAAAAGACAAAAAAAAGAACAACTGAGTTGGGGCTGGGGATTTAGCTCAGCGACATAAGTGCCTGCCTTGGAAGCAGGCAGTCATGAGTTCGATCCCCGGTACCAATAAAAAGGAAAAAGACAAAAAAAAAGAGTTGGCTGGGGATTTAGCTCAGTAACATAAGCACCTGGAGCAGCCTTGCAAGCTCCAGGTCGTAAATTCAATCCCTGGTACCAAAAAAAATAACAACTGAGTCTTGAGCGAAACGGGCTAGACACGGAGGAGTTGGCAGCAACACAATTACACCTGAAACTAGTGGTCCTGCATAGAAGCTCCAACTGCGATGACCCTTCAAGGGTTGTGCAAAATGGAGACCAGGTCTTTGTACTCTCTCATCAAGCAGCTACTGATCATGGGCCTCACCTAGTAAGGGGAGGGGACCTTAGCCAAGACCAGGGTCATAGAGGGACACCCCCATCCGCCCTGCACACTGCCACCAGCCTACCAATATTTGAAGGAAAAATATCACACCTGAAGGCAGGGTCCAGGGAGGTCGGCACCACCGCACTGCACAGGCTCTGCTCAGAGTAGTCATCAAGGTCCCTTGTGGGGCAGAGACTTTGCTGGACCTATGCTTTCAAAATTGCCAAGGTAGGGCTGGGGATTTAGCTCAGTGGCATAAGTGCCTGCCTGGCAAGTGGAAGGTCCTGAGTTTGATCCTCGGTTTTGCAAAAAAAAAAAAAAATTGCCAGGGTAGAGATGGCAAAATAATTACTAGTGCTGCAGTGTCTTGGTTTAACCATAAAAAGTTTTCACCCAGAAGCAATGGGCTTCACTTCCATTCACATTTTATTAGCCAACAAAGCCATGTGGCCAGCCTGGCGTGGTGGCTCATGCCTGTAATCCCAGCACTCAGAAGACTGAGGTGGGAGAATTGTTTCGGGTTGGAGACCAGCGTGGGCTACAAAGTGAGTTCAAGGCAAGCTTGAACTGCATAGCAAGACCCCATCCACCCCCACCCCCACCCCCCACAAAAAAAAAAAAAAAAAAAAGCCATGTGGCCAAACCTAACTATAAGCCAGCAGGAAATATCTACCTTTTTTCTCAAACTGATACTAGTGAACAGTTCTGATGACTACTATGGTGTTGGAGAATGAATACAATAGCACTCTAATCATGAAAAGCCTGACATGCAGGAGGGTAACTTACAGGTGGAAACTCTGGTAAGGAAATTGAGGTTTTCAAACCAAGAGCATCTGAACACTGAGCCTCCACACTAGGTACTATGGTCCTCACGGATGGTATCTTTCTTTTGAACTATAAGTGCTGGTGAACATAAAGCAAGCCCTTGGTTTTGGGAAGAACTGTGGTTAATAAGTAGGTTAAGGAGAACCTAAGCAGGTCCCCGTGAAATGATAGCACAAGAATTAACTCAGAAATATGTCTCAGAATAAACCTATAACCATGAAGGGGTACTGGCAAAGAAAAATAGAAGGAAACTTTTAACCACAGAAGAAAAAATAATACGGATAGCAGAATTTAGCACTTGGATGTTTTTCCTGCTTAGAATGACAGAAGATGGCCTGTGCTGCTTAGAACCTTTGGGATTTAATCTTCAGGCTTATATTGAGAAATGGGATATGGTGATAGTCTTCTTCTGGAAGACTGAAGTAGTGTAAGGAAACAGGAAAGCCCAGTTGTGAAATATAAGAGAAATGAGGTTATGATTGACCTCTCTGACATTCTGGACCTGCAAGCAACCTTAAATGTCTTCCTAAACCGGCATGGTGTCACAGATCTGTAATTCCAGTGTTCTTCTGGGAGACTAAGGCAGACCCATTCAACTGTAACAGCCTCCCTCCCCCCAAAAAAGGAGGAGGTAATTGTACAAGGACATGAATTTTGGGGTCACCTAAGTGTGTGTTCACTGTGTTGTCCTTTAGCCAGGATAGACAGACTGACAGGAAGAGCTGTTCTGCTGGAGAAGAGCTCAGGGAGGCCCATTTAGGAAAGCATTACTTGATGAAGCCTTGAACAAGAGCAGGAACCAGTACACTAACTGTGGATGTCCACCTGGAGGTGCGAGGGTCGGGGTGGGGAGGGTGACTGGGTGTCTGGGAGGATGGTGGAGGTCAGTTTTCTTCTGGCCCCTGGCCCCTTGCTGTCCCCTGTTCTTCCCAACGCCATGGGGAGCAGCCTCCTCCCCCACCATGCCTTTCCTGCTTTCCAGCCAGAATGAATCCTCGAAACTGCATTCAAATCAAATCTCTTCTCTATGTTGCCAAGTGTTTTGTACTAGCAACAGGAAAGGTGACTATTTTATAGCAGAGGAATTGGGTAAGCTTAGGAAACAGGCAGAAGCCCTGAGCTGAGCAGGATAAACTTGGTGTGTCTAAGGAATGAGGACAGTGTTCTGGGGCATGGAAGATAAAGCTGGAGGGGAAGGCAGCACCCACAAGAGGTGGTGTGGTTTGCTCTGCGATCTCAGTTCTGCTTCAGGGCCTGAGCCCTGT